GCTTTTGCACGGGCCCCCCCCAGCCCCCAAAGGGTTTGCAACCCATGTCTGGGGCCGGGGGGCTTGGAAAGCCTCTGACCCCGAGGAAGGGGGCTTGCAAAGGGGGCCCGGGCGCCCGCCACCCCGCCGGGACCCCCGGCCCACCTCTCTCTGCTCGCCTGCGCCGCGCTCCTTCTCCCGAGCCTGGGAACCCAGCGGCAGCCCGGAGGAAGGCGGAAAAGCCCGAGCTCGGTCCGAGCGGCGCCGGAAAGAGCCGAGCTCACTACCCTCCCCCGCTCTGCGCCGGCGCGGAGGCGTTCGGAGCGTCGGAAACGGCCGAGCGCTGCCGAAAGCCCTCGGGGCCGAAGAGAAGAGGCGCTTTTGTGTCACAGCGAGACATCGGGGGATCCTTTGGAAGTCAGAAAAGGGGTTTTCCCCCTGCTTCCAGGCCGCTTTCTCACATCTGCCTCCCCTCCCTGTCTCATGCAATGGGGTCGCCCTCAAGTGGGGGGTGCAGGGGGCTAAACCATACTCGCCCCCCCACTGGATTGTAGACAACCAACCAAGGAGTAGGTCTTTTGTAAAGTTAATGGATCCTGATGGCCTGCTCAGGGCCAAACCGTCCCTTTATACTTTGGGTTCGTGGGCAACAGTATAGGAGGGCCCCGTATCCGGGGGAATTCGGTTCCAAGCCTCCATCCCCGCAGATGCTGAAAAACGCGGGTTATAGCGAACGGTCTCCATAGCCTGGTCTCTGGCTCCCTCTAGCGGCCAGTTCTGGTATTCATGGTTTTTTTTTTCTTTTCATATTTTCAGTCGTCCTCCCTTCCCCGTGTATTTTTAATATTATCGGCCTTAAAATTGCAGCCCTTAGCTGTAACTCTCCACCTTCTTGGGTTCTTGGAAAGACGAGAAGTAACGACTTATACAAACGGAACTGCGGGCACTTCCGTATCTAAAGTGGGAGGAAAATAAGGTGTCCATGGGAAACCGGAATTCTAGAGCTTTCCTGCTGCTGTGCAACTAACTCTACCTCTATTGCTCTACAGCGGAAGGGCCGGCTGACGCCGAGTAAACCCGAGCAGACCCGATTAGGCACGAAAGGGACTCCGAATCCTGTACGGAAACAGCCGAACGTTCTCGAGGCGGCCGAAACGTTCAGCTACGTGCCATGACGCCATCGCAAGCTATTTTCGTGCCATTTTTTGGTGCAGAGCTAATTAAAGTCAATTTTTAAAAAATTCTTTGAATTGTTTCGCTTTTGCAAAAGCGGGTCATGAGAAATGACTTATAAAGCAAATGAGAAAAATAGGCAAAATTTATAGGAATAATAAATTATTGGCCATAGAGAAGAATTTACACCTATCCTTATAAGCAAGCTTGTTTTATATTTAAATTTATATATATTTGGTTTATAAATCAAAGAGAAACATACCAAATTTAACCCCGTAAGAAATTATTCCTAATTCATAGCTAACCAATTTAGAGATACTTTGATGGGCAAGCTTGTTTTAAATGCAGCACTTTAAATGATACAGGATCGGTATCCACGGACAAGTTACCCGAAATCTCAATGTTTTCATCATCCACTTTGTTGAGGGGGGTTCGCTTCTTTTCACCTACTCCCACTTGCTGTTTTTGAGGTCTATTCTTCTTGCTTAAGAGTAAGATCCTTTTTTTCGGGTTGATATCCGAAAAGCACATTAAATAAATAAACCTGCGCCAACCAGCAAAGCCGTCTGCCCCCTCTGCTCTGTGGTCAAGTAGGAACAGGCTTATAAGGGCCCCCGATAGGGTTTTCAAGGTTACCAAGATATGTAAAAGGAGAGGTTTTACCAGTTCCACTATTCATTCCCCCAGGGAGTGGCTGTGGCTGAGTGGGGATTCGAACCAAGGCCTCAGAAGTTCTGGCCCAAGATTCCCCAGAACCAGACTGGGTGACCTCTTGTCAAGCGCCAGATCATTTAGGAGAATGTCCCAGGGAGCCGCCCCTCCGCCCTGCTCCATCTCAGCCCCATCCATGGAAAACCGATCGGGTCCAAGTGGATAAGAAAGACTCTGGAACGCAGCAGTGGGTAAAAATCAGGGGGGAGGGGGTTTGCCGCCCCTGTGCTCTCAGCATTTTATTATTTTCCTTTCCAACCATCGCTCACACCCCAGGAAAGCCTGGAGGCTGTTCCACAGTCTCAGCAAAACCGACACAACAGGATTTGAACTCGGGACACCCTCTCCTTGGCGACTCCGACCCCTTCGGAAGAAAATAAAACCGGGTGCCCCATGACCCTCGTTGGCTTTCTTTGCCACACACCCCAAAATGTGTGGCGGGCTTTTAGTGGTTATTTGGGGCGGAAGGCCATGCTCGGGACCTGGGGGGGCCCCCCGAAGGGAGACCCCCCCAAACACGGGGGCCAAAGCAGGGAGCCGCTCGTAGGAACAAAAACGCCAGAAGGGCCAGACACTTGGCACGGGGGCGGTAGACCCCTTTCCGTGCTTTTGCAACAAGGACGGGGCCCTCCCTCCACCACAAGAAGGGACCAGTGCTGGGGAAGGAACAAACCCCTGGCCCAGCCAGGGAGGCGAGGGGCGAAACCGACAGCCGGGGGCTCCTTCTGTGGGAGGGCCTCCGTTTCGGGAGCACCAGCGGGGAGGGAAAGGGGCAAGCATGCAGGCAAGGATTGCACGCCTCCCTCCATGCGCTTCAGGGACACAAATGGGATCCAGACGGCCAGAAAGCTTAAGGGGTGGACCTCCCTGAGTTAGTACTTGCGATCAAGCGGTCAAACGCCACTAGGAGTCTTTTCTCCCTCTCCTGATAGGGACAAAGTGGGTGGGTGTTGGGGGGAGAGAATCTTAAAACGTCAGAGCTGGAAGGGATCCTTGAGAACATCCAGTCCATCCCCGGTCAAGGAGGCCCCAGGAGGGATTTGAACTCCCAACCGAGGGCTCTGCAGCCGGAGACCCTCAACCCCTGGGCTTCGGAGAAAGAAGTTTAAAAAGGAACCGACTCAACTCAGATCCTCAAGGCAGGGAAGGTTCTGGCTTAAGCCACCTTTTGGACCCGCTTCTCAGGCTTGAGGGGAGGATGGGAGCTGTAATTCAACACATCTCGAGCGTGCCAGGTTGGGAGAAAGCTTGCGCGGCAGCCGCCCCCCCAGCACAGAACACAGTGTTGGGCCTGGACGCAATAGACCCCCCAGATGGGACCCCACCTCGCTCTGAGCTCAGCCTGCTAAACCCCCCTCCAAGGATCCTCTCTCTCTCTCTCTCTCTCTCCAGGAACTCAAAAACCCATCATGCTTTTACATGGCCCTTCTTTAGGTGTTTTTTTTAAAGCAAGCTTTAAAAGAAGAGCCATTTGATAAGATATTAGTAAAAACCAGGGTTTTAAAAGGAAACAAGACACAGGAGAATACAAGACACAGCTTCCTTATCTCTAGAACTTGGACTTTTTTGGGGGAGGTATATACTCCCCCCCTCCTGGCAGCAAGGCCTCTCCAAAGATGCTCTTTTGCTCGGAATGGAAAGAACAGGAGACAAAGTGGGATCCCCCCCATCTTCCGGACATAGCTGGGCAAGCCGGCCAGGCGGGACCTGCGAGATGGTGCCTTTCTGGCTTGAAAGAAAGAAAGAAAGAAAGAAAGAAAGAAAGACGGGAAGAAAGAAAGAAGGAAAGAAAGAAAGAAGGAAAGAAGGAAGGAAAGAAAGAAGGAAGGAAAGAAAGAAAGAAAGAAAGAAAGAAAGAAAGAAGGAAGGAAGGAAAGAAAAAAGGAAGGAAAGAAAGGAAGGAAAAGGAAGGAAGGAAGGAAGGAAGGAAGGAAGGAAGGAAGGAAGGAAGGAAGGAAGGAGAGAGAGGTAGCCAGGGAGGAAAAGGTGAGCGGAAAGCGGAACCCCTCCGGCTGCCTTTTCTGCCCCTTTGGCCTCGGGTTACTTATCCCCCAGGAGGGGATCCTGGCACGGGTTCCCCTGGGCCTGGGCCTGCTCTGCCAGGGCATTGCTGCCTTCCATGGGCCCCCAAAGGCAGCCCTCCGGGTCCCCGGGCCCTTCTCCTGCTCGGGCGGAGGCCAGGCTCAGCTCCTCGGCCTGCCCGTCCTTCTCGTCCCGGCTTGTCCTGCGCTCGGCCGTCGCCCCCGGGAGGGTCGGGCTGGCCTCCCGCTGCTCCCGGCTCCCCCGGCGCTGGGAGGAGACGCTCTTGTACTCCACAGCCGTGGTGCCATCGTCCTGCTCAATGTAGACCCGGGCTTCCAGCTGGACCGGGTAGGACCCCTGGCACTCCCAGGCAGCCGTGGCCTCGGGCAGCTCCTCTCCCTGCACAGCAATGTGAGGCACCGGAGGCCGCTTGGGCTCGGCGGGGGCAGCCAGGGGGGAGCAGGGGAGCCGGTCCTCCACCCAGGAAGCTCGGTGGCCGCCGGGGCGCCAGGGGGCCGTCCGGTTCTCTGCGGGGGCCTCCTCTCCGGACACCAGCTCCGGCTCGTCGAAGCTCACCTCCTGGACCGCCTCTTGCTTCTTGAACGAGTCGCGGCGCTCAGATAAGTTCAGCCGTCGCATGACCACCAGTTCCTGGTCGGGACGGTCCCCTGGCCAGTCCCGGAGGCGGGGGGCAGCCACCTCTCCCTCCTCCCCGGAGGCCGGCATCTCCAACATCAGCTTCCGCCCGCCACCCGCCTTCTTCTCGGCCAAGCAGGGGGGGATTTTCTCCGCCGACTGGACGCGCTTGAGGAGGGGCGAGCGGGAGCCCTCGGCGCTGCGGGGCCGGGTGGCCTGGCGCACCACAGTGGGTGGGGAGAGGGTCTTCCCCTGGAAGGGCTGGCCGCCCTTGGCAAAGGGCGGGAGAGGCGAGGGGGACCTCTGAGGTGATGGGGGCTGCGCGGCAGAGGACGAGGAAGGGGTGCAAGCCAAGGGGGAGGGCGGGATGCTGCTGGTGGACTTCCGGCGGCCCACCTTGTAGCGCTGGCTGCCGAGCTTGGGCGCCAGGCCGTGGAGAGAGCTGGGCCGGATGTGGCCTGCCGGGGAGGTGGGGGTGCTGGACGACGGAGAGGTGCTCTGAGGCGAGGTGGAGTCTGAGACAGGAAGAAAGAAAAGAAAAAAGAAGAGAGCTGATTCGTTTAGGAATCAATTTGGGTGACATTTGTATTGACTACTACATCCCCCTCTCCATGGGGCTTCCCTTGGAGACTACAGTGAGTCATCTGGACAGGCAGCTGCGTGAGCCAATTGGATCACCACATTTCTGTCTCGTCTCCGCCTTCCCAGACCAGGCAGCCATCGTTCCTGAGAGAAAAGTGCCCGGGAGAACCAGAGAGAGACAGAGATTATCTTCTACCGGGCTCCTTCTCACCTTCAGGGCTTTGGGACGACGACCCCCAGAATCCACCGACCAGCCACAGACCGAAAGAGTCTGAAGATCCCCACGCCCGGCCAGAGCGGGGGGCGGGGGACAGAAGACACCATGTGGGGTGCCCACGCTTTCTTACCTGGGGGGCAGTCCGGGGCAGGGCTGCGGCAAGGCGGGGTGGGCCCCGGGGAAAGGCTGTGGGTGGGGGAGCCCGGGAGGCTCTCGCTGGAGGAGAGCGAGTGGTGGAGCCCCGAGGAGAAGCTGCGGCTGGTGTGAAGCACCGAGGAGGACGACTGCTTGGAGATCTTTTTGAAGAGGAACTTCCGCCTGGGAAGAGAGACGGGGTGTGGGGGGAGGAGAGTGGGGAGGGAAACAAACACACGTTTTTGGAGAAAATCAGCCGCCCCACCTGCAGACAGGCAGGCAAAGCTCTGCATCTCCCCAGGTCTGGCATGAGGAGTTTTGGGGTGCAGGGGCGGCAGAGCCCCAAACTTTGCAGGAGATTGGGCCCCATCTGGTCCCGAGGTACAGTGACTCCCCCCCCCCACTTCCCCGAGGCCACCTGTGCAGGGAGCCGCAGCCCACCTACCGGTCTTGGCTGTCTCGCTTCCGGCTCTTCTTGCTCCGACGGGCCATCCGCGTCTTGGAGCTGTTCTTGCGAGCCGGGCCCACCTTGATACTGGTGTTCTCTAAGGCAGTGGTCCTCAGTGCCACCTTGTTTCCGCTCTGCAACCAGGAAACGGCAAAACGGTGTGAGAGTCACTCCATTCAGACCGTGCCACCGCGCCCACCCACGCCACTGCGGGGGAGGACAGGGCTCCCAAGGAACCCAGCACTGGTTTGAGCAGGGTGGATGTACATCTGTGGACAACTTTTTAAGTTGTCTTGGAAGCTAAAAGGGGCCTGCAAATAAATTCAGTACCATTAACCTTCTACAATGCTTTGGATTTTTTATTTTATTACTTTTCTTGTTTTACAGATTGTAGGTCAGTGAATCTGTGGATATGGATCCCACGGATAAGGGGGTCCGACTGTACTCTCAATTCGGAAAACCCAGAAAAGGGTGGCCGTAAGTCAGAGCGGACTTTGATGGCACACAACGATGATGGTGCTTAATGGCTATTCAGGTTTAGTGGTGTTGTTTTAGTGTGTCGTTTGCTGTGTTTTAAATTTTGCTCATTCTAACATTGTGTCTCCCCTCTCGAATCCCCCCATGGGGGGGTAGGGGCAGAAAGCAAGCTATAAATGAGGCAGATAAAACAAATCGAGGAACCCCACCTTCAGCAGCAGCTCCACCACATCCATGTGCACAAGACCCAGGACGGACTCTCCGTTGACGTGGGTGATGAGGTCTCCCGCTCGCAGGCCGGCCTCCTGAGCGGGGCTCCCGTCCTCCACGCTCTGCGGACGGAAAAGGCAAAAGTCGTGATGGTTTCCTCCAAAGCCACAATGAGCCAAGTAAACAACCCCTTCCCTTTCTGTTGTTGGGAACGGATCCATCCCCCCCCTCTGCCTTCTTTTCTCCAGGCTAAACATGCCCTGTTTTTCCCCTTCTTCTAGGGCTGGGTTTCCAGCTCCTTCATCCTCCTTCTTGCCCTCCTCTGAACTAAGCAGATCTGTCTTGATCTTGTGGCCGACAAGCTCTCTCTCCCCCACCTGGGCCGGAACCCCCCCCCAAACTCACCCACACCATATGGTGCACCGTGTAGACGTCGCTGTCACCCATGTACACCCGGATGGCGCGCAGGGTGAAGCCGTACTTCTTGCCGGAGCTGTGGATGACGATGGGGGGCCGCAGGTGGGTCCCCCCGAGCAGGGAGTCCCGGCTGGGCGAAGAGTCGCGCGACGAGGGATTGGAGGAGAGCGAGCGAGGCGAGATGGGGCTGACGAGAGCGCCCCCTCCCAAGTCATCTGCAAAGGCAAGAAGAAGTGAAGGATGGGGTCCCAATCCTGGGGGGAGGCTTAATATTAATATTTTGTGGATTTCCCTTTTAGTATTTTTAGACCGTGGATAAGTGAATCAGCGGATGCAGATCCCACAAAGAAGAGGGCTCCTACTGTCTGCCCTGCTTGACCGCCCCACCGACAGGCAACGTAAAAGTTTGTCTCTGGAAGCCATAAACGGGATCCCTTCCCAGTTCCTGTAGCCAGAAAGGGTTCCCTCTTCTCTTAGGCGAGGGGGACCCAGGAGGAGCCCCCGACCCACAGAGGGGAGGCAGAGGGGGTCCCGTCCCCCACCCACCTGAGCTGATGATCAGCGACAGGGCCGAGACCGACGCTGACTTGGGCACTCGACCGCCGGCAGAGATGCGCTGCTTGCCAGTGCTGTCCTTGGGCCGCCGTCCCCCATCTGGCTCCGCCCCCCGTGGCATTGAGTTCTTGGTCCCGGTGCTGTTGCTCCGCAGGCGGACGCGATTCAAGCTGGCCAGGTCAGCTGAAGGGAAGGAAGGAGGGGGAAACAGCAGCTGGTTGGAGAAATCAGAGGGTTGGAAGACACCCCACCACCACCACACACAAAGAGGCCAGCGAGTCAACTCCCTCCCAATACAGTAGGATGTCCGGATCAGTGGGAGGTGGGTTCCAAATCTCCCGTGGACACTGAAAACTGTGGACAATAGCAAACGCTATACACAGCATGCTAAGGCAGGGGAGAAACCCAGAAATATGTATTTTCATTGTGTATTACCAAAACTAGCCACCAGGGGGAGATAGAGAATATGCTATGTATCCATCAACAACAATAAGTGTGGTCTCTCTCTCCCTCTAGTGGTCCGTTCTTGTCAATACATTGCAAAAATAAATATTTCTAGGTTTTGACATTTAAAGGCCGAGAAATAAACCGGAGGATACCAATCCCACAGATACGGTGTGTATGTGTCCTACGGTCAGTTTGTGATAAGCCCACCCAAGAATGGTGCAACGTCCAAAGGACCCATTTCCCCCACGGAACCCAGTCATGCCGGAAGAATTAGGGGTCTGCTCTAAGCAAGGGGACACCACTCCCCAAAAAGGTTTCCCTCCAAGTGGGGACCAGAGGGGGCAGATGTTGTCCGCTGTGGGTACGGGGTAGGAACAGAAACGTAACTACCTGGTTCTTCGAAGACCCACCCTATGCACCCTTCCCAGCAGCAGACCCCACCCCCTGCGTACCCACCTGCCAGTGCCTTCCCAGGGGCCCTCGGGGTGGACGATGGTGGCGCGGGGGGCTCACAATCCCCGAGCACGAAGATGGGTCGCTCCCGCTTGGCCGGCCCCTTGGCGGGGCTCTCGTCCTCCGAGGAGAAGGCAAACCGGGGCATGGCCTCCAGGCTGCAGGTGCTGCTCAGGACCGCCGAGCCCCGGGCGCTGGTCTCCTGGCGGAAGGCATGGACGGTGGAGCCGCACGAGGTCCAGGCGCGGAGCCTGTGGGACAGATGGACGGACGGAGAGAGAGGTAGGGGTCAGCCTAGGAAGGGGGGAGCAGCCTCTTGGATGAGGGGCGGCCCTGCCCCTCCTTCCCTAAGAACCAGAGGTGGAGGGCTACCCCATGGAGAACCTGTGGGGCTAGGCAGAGAAAGTGCATGAAGGGAAGTCCACCCTAACCCCACCCTCCGACCCATCGATGGATCAGTTTGAGGTCAGGGGGAGGGCCAATAAATCAATACATAAATTCATACATCCGAGATAAGTTCTAATAAGCAAACCCACCTGAGGTATGGAGGGTTTCTTATAAAGCAACCAATCAATAAGCAAGAGCTAAGGATAACTTCCATGCGGTCGGAGAAGAAGGCCCACTGGCCTCCGATGCATGTAAACATGTCCGCTCACCTCGGAGTCTCCGGGCCGGCCGGCCGGCCCTTCTCTTCATCCCCAGAGCTGCGGTCGGTCCGGTCGTCCCTGTCTGAGGCCGAGACGTTGAGGGCGGGCAGGTTGGCCAGGTGCTCTGAACTGCTGTATACCTGGATGGGGAGAAGCGGCTTGGTGAGCTTCAACCCCACATGCCTCCAGAACCCCGTTTTGGGTCAAAAAAAAGAAAATAAAGAAAGAAAAAGAAAAAAAGGAGGGGAAGTAGAAGTCAGGGCCGGAGGGCAGGGCCAGTTAAAGTCTGGTTGTACCAATGTCTCAGTGAGAACTATTGAGACTGTAAGTGCCAGTAGATGATATAAATAAATGAATGAATGAATGAATGAATGAATGAATGAATGAATGAATGAATGAATAAATAAATAAATAAATAAATAAATGAGGTGGCCTATTCTGGGGAGACTTGACACTTGCTCTATGCTCTAAGTCTCCGTTCTTCTGCCTCCAGGCCAAGATTATTCCCCTATTCTGGGGAGAATTGACACTTGTTCTATGCTCTAAGTCTCCATTCTTCTGCCTCCAGGCCAAGATTATTCCCTAATCCCCTCCCCGCCCAACAAACCTTGCTAAACCGGTGAGAGCAGGAGGAGAACTGCCGGATCTCCAGGCATGACTCCTCGTCGTTCGTTTCCTCGTCCTCAGAGCCCAGGTGGCGGTAGCGCTCGGAGCGAGCTGGAAGGAGAGACCCGGTTGGGGGTGGGCGGAAAAGGAGTTGCTCCCCTCCCTCCAAGCCCACCAAAGAAAAGGGCTATACAGGAGGACCCCCGCGGATGCTGAAAACCATGGATTATAGTGAACGCTCTATATAGCATGGTCTCTGGGTCCCTCTAGTGGCCGGTTCCAGTAAGGACACCACGGAAATCAATTTCTTTAACAAACTCTACCCATGGTATCTTTTTCTCCCTCAAGTGGCCAGTTCTGCTAATTTTGCATTTAGAAATATCTATTTCTAAGAGTTTTCATTTTAACATTTTTTAGGGTTTTCAGACCCTGGGTCAGTGAACCAGCGGGTACCGATCCCGCGCATACGGGGAACCTCCTGCCTTATTGGTGTCCCTTCTCCCTGCCCTTCCTCTCGCAAATTCAGGGCGCTGTCCATGGTCCCCTGTCCCCTTTCCTCTCCCTAACAACCCCACCTGTGCGTCGGCCTGGCTCAGATCGAGCGAACGAGGCAGCCCGAGCGAGCCCGCTTACTTTCAAAGCTCAACGGGGCAGAGAGCCACCGTCTCCGGAGCCCGGCTCCGAGGCTTGTAACTACTAGACCACACTTCCTCTCCACGGCCCCCACGCCCAGGGCAGAGGAGCCTTACTGTCGAAATAGCTGGTGTCGTCTTCGGCCTCCAGTTGAGGGATGAATTCTGCTTTCTGCCGGAGGAGCCCGTTCCAGTCCAGGGTGCGGAAAAAGCTGTGCTGCTTCACCTCATGGGCGCCCCCTGGAGGGTGGAAGGAGACGGGATGGCCCCTCAAAGCTGGGTCTGAAGCCCCCCCACCGGTTACCTGAACCCCCCCTCCCCATGGCCCCGGTCCCCTCCTTACCTGTGCCCAGTCTCTCCAGCGGGCAATGCCGGAGCAGGAGGGTGATCAAATCCTGGGCGTCTCCGGGGAGCGCCTCATCCCCTTCGGGCCACATGATTTCGTCTGAAACGAGGAAAGCAGAGCGCAGTGAGGAAGGCGTAAAAGCCCTCCCGCCTCCCCCCTCTTCACATCCCATTCACTCGGGCATCCTGGGATTCAGCCTCCGCTGATTCACTCCTCCACGGTCTGAAAATGTTAAAAGAAAAATCCTAGAAATATACATCGCTTCAAGGTGACATTACCGGAACCGGTCACGAGAGAGAGCCAGAGACTATGCTATGTAGAGCGTTTGATATTCAGATAGCATTTGCGATCATCCACGTGGTTCAGCATCCGCGGGAGGCGGCCCCCTCGGAGCCGATCCTCCAGGGATACAGGGGCCGTCTGGTCTCGCCAACACAAATTCGACTGTGGTTTTTCTTGCCAGTGTGAACGAGCCCTTTAAAGAGGATCCCCCGCTGAGAGACTGGGGGCGCCTGGCCCCCCCGGCTCCCCCTCCCTCCAGGACGCTGGCGCACTCACCGCTGATCACTTGGCCAAAGAGCTCTTCGGGGGTGTCGCCGAAGAAGGGGACGCAGCCCACCAGGAACTCGTAGAGGATGATGCCCATTGCCCACCAGTCCACCGGTTTGCCGTATCCTTGGTTCAGGATCACCTCTGGGGCAATGTACTCTGGGGTGCCGCAGACCTGGGAGGAGAGAAGGCAAGGCTCCACCCTGCTTCCCAGTCGAGGGACGGCCTCCGGCCCACCTCTCCCACCGCCCTTCTCAGGGGGGGGGCCCTGCCGCCCACTCCACCTGCTTATCCACAAACTCCCGGGTGTCCTTCTCGATGTGGCCTTCGTAGAGGTTAGTGGTCATGTTCATCAACCCGATCTTGGAGAGGCCGAAGTCGGTCAGCTTGATGTGGCCCATCGACGTGATCAGCAAACTGTCGGGAGAAAAGGAACCGTGGAGAACACTCCGTCCCCAGCTGTCTTTGGAAGAGGAAATTCCGTATTTGCACCTTATATATTACCAGAATTGGCCCCTAGAAGGAGCCAGAGAGGACACTATGTACATGGTGATGTCTCTAGGCCTCCCTCTGGTGGCCAGTCCTGGTAAATACCTCCTACAAATACTTTTTCTCCCCCACCCCCTAATATTTTCAAGCTGCGAATAAGCAAAACAGCAGATATGGGGGGTTTACTGAGCAAGTATTGGGAGAAAAAGCTCACACATGGAAATAAAAGGGCCAAGGCATTGATGAGATTCCAGACGCAGGCCAATAGGTGCTGATCCAAATCCCATTCCTGCCTCCTTACTTGTCTGGCTTGAGGTCCCTGTGGACGATGCCATAATTGTGGAGGTACTCCAGGGCCAGCACCGTCTCTGCAAAGTACATCCGGGCCATGTCCACCGGCAAGGGGCCCATGTTCTTCAGGAGCGTGGCGCAGTCCCCACCTGCCAAGAGAGCGAGGGACCGACAAGAGGGTGGGCTCTCGGGCTTCTTCCCACCCTTGGCCTCCTCCTCCACACGGGGGCGGCTCCAGCTTCTGAGCGTCTTCCAGCCTTGGAAGCGCGGTGGACGGGAGGGACGCTCTGGGGGGAGAAGAGCCAGGGTCCCACCCCCAGCATAGGCCTCGAGCCAACCTTTTAATCCTCATCATCCTCTTGGAAGGGCCGAGCGGGAAGGGACCCTGGCGATCATCCGGTCCAGCCCCTCCTCTGGCTCCGTGGCCGCAGCCCACGTGATCTCTCACCTTCCACGTATTCCATCACCAGGCAGAGGTGGCGCCGGGTCTCGAACGAGCAGAACATGCCCACCACGAAGGGGTTCTCGGCGAAGGTGAGGATGTCCCGCTCAACAAAGACCTGCTGGATCTGGTTCCGGAGCACCAGGTTCTGCTTGTTGATCTTCTTGATGGCGAAGCGCTGGCGGGTCTCCTTGTGGCGCACCAAGTAGACGGCCCTGAAAGAGGAGAGAGTCGTTGTCGTCTCAGGGTGGGACTCAACGTGGCTGGCGAAGGGAAAAGCAGCCTTGGGGGAACCCTTTCCCAGAATCCCCCCTCCGGCACAGGGGATTCTGGGCGCTGTAATCCATGATACAGGAGGGCCCACATATCCAGATAGGTTCCAAGCCCTCTCCCCCTCGCAGATACGGAACAACGTGGATGATAGCAAACACTATTTTAATAGGGAACACAATCCATCACATGGTCCCTGGCTCCCTCTGGTGGCCCATTCTGGTGACTTCACCTTCAGAAATATAGATTTCTATTACTTTTCTTTATGTTTAATATTTTCAGGCCACAGATAAAGGGAATCCGCAGATACCGATCCCGTGGATAAGGGGGTCTTACTGTATATTGTTATTGAAGAGTTTCCATACTAAGAAGAAAAAGACATCCTTAAGACCGGAGAAATTTCAGCCACTCGCCCACCATGCTCACCCATAGGCGCCGTTGCTGATCAGCTTGATGGTTTCGAAATCGCCCTCGCAGGGTTTCCTCCGAGAGACGGGGGCCGGGGACTGAACGGAAGAGCAGGGGGGTGGGGGGGCAGGCAGGAAAAAGAAACTTATGATCGGTATTGACCCTCATTTGCTCCTTCTTGGCCACATCTGGTATTGCCCAAAAAGTGAACCTCTGATATTAAAATGAACAAAAATCCCCCAATGTCCAAGCTCCCTGCAGATACTGGAAAACGTGGATTATATACCTGGATGCGGAGAAGCGGCTTGGTGAGCTTCAACCCCACATGCCTCCAGAACCCCGTTTTGGGTCAAAAAAAAAAAAGGAGGGGAAGTAGAAGTCAGGGCCGGAGGGCAGGGCCGGTTAAAGTCTGAGATCTATAATGTGGCTTCCTCTAGCGGCTAGTCCTGGTAATGATGCCATTGGAACTATATATTTCAGGGGTTTTTCTTTTAATATTTTAAAGACTGTGGATAAGTGAATCAGGAGATACTGATTCCGCTCATAAGGGGGTCCTACTCTACACTGTTATTGAAGAAGGTGGTTTTTTTTGTTTGTTTGTTTATTTTTGCAATAGGACGTCGGTTTTTGGGGCAGAGGAGAACCCTTATTTACTGGTTTGGGGTTTTCTTTAGAGGAAAAAAAGGGGGGCAGGACATCCATACATCCAAGGCTCTTTGGGTCGCTAGACGTTGGTTCCAACTTGAGCACAGAACCATCCCCTCGGCGCCTTGTACGGCCATTCAAGGGGATGGGAAAAGGGACTGGATCTCACCTCAGGCACCTCCTCGGGCTGTTCGGGCCCAGTGGGGGAGCTCCGGCCGGCCTCGTCCAGTTGCCCAATTTCTGGGGGAAGCAAGAGAAACAGCTGTCAAGGGCGGGGTGGGGGGTGGCCAGAATCTGGGGCTACCTTCCCCCCCCTAAGCTTGGAGGCCCTCCTTTCAGGGAGAAAAAACTCCAGATAGTTCCTCTGAATACCAGAAGTCAGGAGAAAGGTGGCATATAATTATTTTAAATAAATATCCCCCCCACCTTTCTTGACCTTCCCACTAGGAAGGATGGCCCTTTCGGATACCAGAAAATCTGAAGAGACTCCCTTGAGCCCCACTGGGGTCCTTCTCCTGGTGGCCGAGACCTCCGGCAGAAAGAAGGGCTTCCACCCGCCTTCCGTCGGAGGCCCTTCCCGTCTGGAAATGCAAGGATGTCATCGGGAGCCCCTCATCTTACACCGGAGCAGGGGCTGCAGGTCTTCCCAACCCCAGACGTTTCCGGGGCCCTCCTCCAGCACGGCTGCCTTCCTCACCCTCCAGCGGGTCCTTGGCCAGCCCGAGCTGGCTGATGATGTAGCGCGGGATGTCCGTCTTGATCCCTCGTCCCTCCTTGGCTTGGCCCTCGGCCGCCTCCAGGAGGTGGTAGAATTCCTCGGGGTCAAACTCCTATAGGGATGGAGGAAAGCCGCCACAGGGTGAGAAGGCAGGGCGTGGGGGAAACATGGGAGCCTCTGCTTTTCTGAGGTGCATCACAATCCTTCTGTGTCACTCCTGGGGGGGTTTCCTACAGGGCGATTCCAGACGCCCCCTCTCATCGTGCAGATACAGCTCCGCAACGTCTTGGGAGAAAAGGGCTCCCTCCTTCCGGGGTCCTTAGGGTGGGAGGCTGTCTTTCACTCGCCACCCCCTGTAGGTCCAGACCCATTGGCTCAGCCCTTACCAGGCACTCCAGCAGCCGAGCAGGCCGGGAGATGATGATCAGGATTTTCCGGACCAGCTGCTCCACGAAGCGTACCTCCTCGCTCTCCGAGCGCTCCTGAGCCTGTTGAAAGAGAGGAGAGTGGGATGAGAGAGGAGCGGGGGGGGGGCAGCCGGCCAGGGTGGGGGGCAAAGAACGGCCTAGGCACTCACGTCCCGCAGCATCTTCTCCAGCTTCTCCTGCAGTTCCAGGAAGTAGCGGGAGGTCACGAGCGCCCCTTGCGACTTCGACAAGCAGTCCCGGGCCAACTCGATGATTTGGTGGTGGATGAAGCCCAAAACCCCGTCGGCCAAGGGGAGGGTGCTGCTTGGCGAGAACGCGGCGATGGTCTCAGCCAGGCGCTCCTCCATCTGTGCCGTGGCCTGCGGAGAAGGGGCAGAGCATTACCGTGGGGGGGATCCCAAGGAAGAGGCAGAGCCATGGGGCCCTCCCTCCTCCTCCCATGGGTCTCCTTAGACGGTCCCTCACCTTCGGGAAGCGCTCCTTGTACACATGGTTCATCATCACCACCTCATTATCGAAGGTCCCACTCGTCCGGCCGGGGCTGCAAGAGAAGGAGGCCAGATAACACCCACCGGCTCGGAGCCTGGCTCCTGGACCGGGTCACGAGAGGGAGGGCCAGCCGGGCTCCAAAACCAGACGCGTCCCCGAGGCGCTCTCGCGGCCGCCTGATGTGGCCCGGCCATGGCCAGCCCCACGTCTGCACACCCTACGGCGACGCCACATGCAGCGGCTATCTGGTGTCATTGAGAAGAGAACGTGAGGGCCTGGGTGGAGGTCAGGATTGGATCCGCTCTGTTCTGGGGCCCTTTAGGTGGGGTGCATTTCTGAAGGGGGCCAGGGATATAGCCTGCTCACGGTTGAATTGAACTAGAATCCAGGTCCCAAACCAGAAGAGGCACCACACCGCTGGCCGTACCCACCTCTCTAGGGTGAGCAGAGCCTCCTGTCCCTTCCGGTCCCAGAGGATTCCCCTCCCCACCGCCCGTTCACCCAGCCAGCCCTGCCGCTGAACTGTATCTGTGATTCCTCCGAAAGAAACTTGGCAGAGGGAAGGCCAGGCTCCTTATCCTTTTATGTGACCTCGAGTGACCCCCCTCCGAGTCTTAATCCCGTATCTGAACACGCTCGGAGGGTGTGTCGGGAGGGGGGTGGAATGACGGTGACAAAGACCAGCTCAGCAGAGGCTAGCAAACGGTTTGAGGCCGGAGCCAAAGAGAAAAACGACTGACCCTGTTTGCCGATCATAAACCGGGAGGGTCAGAACTCAGAATAAAAAAAGAAATCCCCCCCCAAAAAAACCATTCATTCCTGTGCTTATTTTAAACCAGTGTGACTCCAGTAAAATAAACTCTTTTCCCTACCCTGTCCATTAGCATGTCTTCCCACTGCGCTGCTCTTTTTAAAAAGAAAACAGGGTTGCTAGGAAAAACTGTCTCCGTGGTGGATCGGTTCTACGCCCCCTTGCGGATGCTGGAAATAGGTGGATAATCCTGAATGCTAAACACAGTGTGGTCTATGGCTCCCTCCAGTGGCCAGTTCTGGCAATGTCACCCTTAGAAATATACATTTCTAGGATTTTTTTTCTTTTAAATATTTTTACTATTTTCAGAATCGGAAAATATTTTAAATAAGGGGGGTCTTTACCATACCTCAAGCTCCGGGACCGAGGGCGGAAGTACGGCGAGCGGCGCCCATCCTCTCCCGCCACGCTCTCCGTGCTCCGGAAGTGCTTGGAGAGGAAGTGAAGCTCGTCCGGCGTGGGCTGGTAGGGCAGCTGATGGAGCCGCTCCTGCGAGGAGGAGGAGGAGGACTAGCAAAAAGAGGGGAAGAGGAAGTCAGAGGGTGCCCGACGGTCCATCCATCCCGGATTTCACCCTCTTCCTTCATAAAGTCCGGACGCTTTACTCAGAAAACCCAGATTCCTCGGAAGAAATGAGGTGACGGGAACAAGTAAAACAAGAAGTCGGAGCGGCTTCCTTAATTTGCTTGTCTCCAGATGGGCATACACACTCCATACGACGGCTACCAGCTATGCTGTAGCCGACCGGGCCTGGTCCTTCCGGCCGGCTACAGCGTATGGCTCCGTCCTGACCCCAAAAAACTGCCATAAGCTCCTGGGGCAGGGTGGGTTTCCCCCTGTCCTCTATGTATCCTTAAGAAGTAGCAAGAGGGGTTGGATCCTGAAATGGCCCAAACCCCCACTGCCATTCTTTGATGGCAAAGAATGCAGAAGCGCCCCGGCAGCAGATTAAAAAAAAAAACAAGCTTAAGGGAGCCAGATGGATCGGTCCGCACATCAGACAGAGCCAGCCAGAACTCGAACCCAGAGCCGGGAATCACAGCATCGGGAGACTTACCGAGACGGTGGAGCTGGGCGTATTGGTCCCATAACCAGAGGAAGGAAGCGAAGCCAGCGACCATCTTCGGCCGTCAGCCCTGCAAGGAGCGGAGTAAAGGTTAGGCCTGCGAGGCGGGCCGATCCTGGGAGGAGGCGGGCCCTACACGGCAACATCGAAAGCACACCTAACACAAAGCGGGGACTCGGGAACAGCTTTCTCTTTCCTTCCGGCAGGTTGATCTTCTTCAAACCTTCAAACCCCTCAATTTCGGGGCGACCCCCCCTCCCTGAGCCGCTGATAAGTTATCTTCCCGGATTCAAGTCTCCGCCAGCCATTCTCCAAGAGGGCCTCTTTTCAGGGCAGAACGGCCGCGATTCTCAGCTCAAGAGACACAGCTGCCCCTCGCATTTACCTGTCGGTCCGAGGCGCATGGCTGAGGCGGACGGGCCAAGCAGGAGAGGCAGCCAAGGATGAGAGAGAAGAACGAGCGGGGAAAAGAAGAGGAGAAAGTGAGCATAGCCGGCCCCCAGACTCAAGGGACCACCCCCCAAAGAGCCCGTAACACAAGGAATAAAGCAGGACCCCCATATCCGCAGGATCCATATCTGCGGACTGAACAAATTTGAAAATATTAAAAGAAAAAAAAAACTAGAAATACTGTATGTATTTTCATGATGAAAAGTTACCAGAACTGGCCACTTGAGGGAGGCAGAGACCAAAATACAGTAGGTATTCTTGCTGCCATGGCATGGTCTCTGGTTCCCTCTAATGGCCAGTTTTGGTAATACATGGCAGAAATGCATATTTCTGGAATTTTTTTTCTTTTACAGTGGTGCCTCGCATGACGTTAATTCGTTCCGCAAAAATCGCTGTCGAACGAAAACGTCATGCGACTTTTACACTGGTGCCTCACATGACGACGTTAATTCGTTCCGCAAAAATCGCTGTCGAACGAAAACGTCATGCGATTTTAAAAAGCCCATAGAAACACATTAAAACCCAATGAATGTGTTCCTATGGGCTTAAAACTCACAGTCCAGCGAAGATTCTCCATAGCGCGGCCATTTTCGCTGCCCATGCAGCGAGGAATCCGTGCCAGAAAACAGCGGGCGGCCACGTTTTTCACCCTGCGGCCATTTTGAAACCGCCAATCAGCTGGCCGAAAATCGTCGCTTTGCGATGATCGGTTCCCAAAACAGGGAACCGATCATCGCAAAGTGAAACTCCCCCATACGGAATATCATTTTGCGATCGCTTTTGCGATGGCAAAATCTTCAAAATAATGCGATTTCGTCATCAAACGGAGCACTCGTAAAGCGAGGCACCACTGTACTATGTTATGTACAGTGTTTGCGATTATTGGCAGTTTTCAGCACCCATGGGGAGGCTCGGAACCGTCCCCTGCAGATACGTGGGGTCCCATTGCCATTTTGTTCCATTTGCTAAAACAATTTTAGAATTTCACATCAGATGAAACAATGACAAGAAGGAACCGATGTGTCATGTTTGAGTGTCTGTTTTTAAAACCGGTATACGGTGTGAAGGAGCAAGTCCGGGCGGAAGCGAAGCGAAAGGAAACAGTTCGGGAAGCTGTGTCTGGATCAGTCAGCCGTGTCTGGATTGCCCCTTACCTGCGGGCGAAAGGAAAACTGGCCGAAGCTCCTGTAGAGAAGGTGCGAGGGCTGTCAATCGGGCTGTTGCTGGCTATACGGGGAAGAAACAAAGGAAGGTGTTAGTTCAACAGGTGCGGAAGAAGAGCGGTAGAGTAGGCCCCCGTATCTGCAGGATCAGTATTCACAGTCTGAAAATATTAAAAATATCAAAAGAAAAGAGCTAGAAATACATATTTTCATCATGTATTACCAGGATTGGCCACTAGAGGGACGCAGAGACCAAACTACATAGTGTGGTTTCTGGCTCCCTCTTGTGGCCAGTTCTGACAAATGCATGGTGAAAATCTCTCTCTCACACTATGCTATGGATAGTGTTTCCTATTATCCACAGTTTTCAGCAGGGATGGATGTCCTGCTATACTTTCTTTTTCCGTTCTGCTATCTGCCTCTGCTGCTCCAACCTTTGTTTGTTCCACTGGTAGGTGGTGGGGAGAAGGCAGCCGCAGGCGGAAGTGAATCCCCTACTGAACAGGGGTTCGAAATTCTTGAATTTGAAAAGGAATATCCAGCAGAAAAGTCAACCATCTCTGTTGCTCCTCTGGGGAGGCAGGAAAAGTCCAGCACTTTGCAAGCGATAGGGTGGGGGCTTCCTCCCTCTCCCCCAACCGCTTCCCCTCGCACCCGGCTCCCTCCCATCTGGCTCCGGCCGTACCTGTGGGCACTGAGAGAGGGGAGAGCGGGCGGGAAAGGGTGGGCGACGGGGTTCCCACCACCAGGCTCTTCCGGTTGCTACTCCGGCAGCTGCAAAAGAGGAAAGATGGCTGGCGTTACACGATGTAAAATGAGATTTCCCAGGGCAACCCCCCTCCACACCATTTTGGGGGGGACTAACCTGAACCCCAGAAGCTCAGGGGAAAAAAGGTGCTTTTTTTGGGGGGGGAAACCTTGCACCGGTTGCTTCCAACCACCCATCCAAGCCTGAAGGCTCGGCAGGGCCTCAAAATAAAATGCAGCATGGAAGCAAAGCCCGCAAGTAACTAGTCCTCAGTCTTGTAGCACATCCGTAGCTCAGATACCAAGAAAACAGGACAGAGAGAAATACAGTCAGACTCACTTATCCGTGGGATCAGTAGCCACTGATTCACTGACAAAATATTTTAAATATTCAAAGAAAAATCCTAGAAATTCAGTAGGGCCCAGTATCCACGGGACCAGTATCCACTGATTTAAAACTAAAACAAGGGAAAACCTAGAAATATGTATTTGTAAAGATGACATTAACAGAATTGGCCACTCAAGGGAGCCGGAGAACATGCTAGGTCTAGCAAATGGCTATAAAAATAGTTTTCTATTATCCACATTTTTCAGCATCTGCGGGGACGGCTTGGAACCGTTCCTAGTTGGATAGTGGAGTGTTACGGTATTAAGAAAGACAACCCATGCCCAGTTATATAAAGTGTCTCTGGTTGGAAACAATTCTCAGTCCCAATGGGTCTTTCATGGAATGAAGGGTCGACCAAAAGTCTCTGCAAACTGCATAATGGAAATAGACACGCATGGATGATGACAGCTGTCCAGGGATAAGGAAGCCCTGGGATAAAAGGCAGGCACCCTGACAGGACGCCAGTTAAAAATAGCGCCATGCAAAGCTGTCCGTGAACTCCTTCAGCCGTCTCCCGCTCTGGCTCCGAAGAGCCCGGCTGACCTCAGAGTTTTGCAAACGTCTCCCAGCAGTGAGACCTGAGGTTTTTCTGAAAGAGGCACCAGCCCACAGCAAAAGGGAAATGCCCTGCAGGGCGAAAATAAAGTAAAACTGGCAGAGCGTTGATTTCCAACTTTGAGATGACCAATGTTTCGGCCTGCGATCCCATACATGCGGTCACTTTGAACGGCTCCATTTCTTTAGCAAACCCAACGATTTAACAGGAGCACCTGATAGGAATGCGGTGGGGTGTGGGTTTTTGTGGGGGAAGGGGGCTTTGTTGGACTACAAACCCCATAATCCACAACTCTGGGAGTTCTAGGGGACAGACGCCTAAGAGCTGTGGCTCACCTGGGAGAACGGCCTCAGCTAGAAGGCTTTTGAGGCCGAGCTCACTTCCTGTTCAGAAAGGAAGGAACGAGGGAAGGAAAGACAGACAGACAGACTCGGCAAGGACAAGAAACACAACAGAGACACTCTCTGTGTGTTGTAGGCATACTGTGGAAGGACTATATTGTCAAACACATTCTTCCACACTGCCCTTGTGTTATTTCTGTGGCATTCTTTTCAACTCAGATGTTTGACATTTTTCTGCGCTGCTCTGTATGTGTGCGCGTGTGTGTCCTTTTTAAAATACCCCTTCACCCAAACAAAGAAACTCTTCAAAATAAACCAAGCCGGAGCTTTTAATGTCTTTCCTAGGAAAAGCAGACCGGGGGGGGCGTGCCTGCACCCCTCAAAATAGAGGAACAACCCCTGTGTTTCGCAGTTTCTTTTCGGTTTCAAAACTGGGGGGGGGGGGGAGGTGATGCTGCTGTTTCAGGAAAAAGTAGTTTCCATTTTGGGAGGATGACACCCAGGCGCCCCTTGCGGGGGGGGCGCCAAGGGCCGTGGGTGCCAGGCGCCATAGCCTAGAAATGGAATTTCTTACATTTAAGTGTCTTGTGACTCCTCAAGGACCGAGAAATTTTCCTCGGCTGAAGCTTCCGCATCTCCCGAGTTTAATCTGCACACATGCCAACTTTGAAGTTCTTCCCGCAAGGTTTCCAATTTATAATTCAGCTTAAAAGTGAGATGTAATCTTAAAGGGAAAGGGTTTTTGTGTTGGAACAGCCGTCTAGGACGATTTGTGAGCGGAATCGGTTCAAGGAGGCGCCTCCAGTCTGAGAGGAAGACTTGTACAAAAGGGTTTGCTGGGTTTCTAGATTTAGCTGCTCCCTCGACATTTCCCCTGCTACTTCTGCTCCAAAGTTATCTTGGGTGCGTCAAATCTGGGATTTGTAGACCCTAGGAGACCGGCTGGTTTGGAAAAAAGCTTGGTTGAAATGGGGTTTTTATGGGATCCAAACACAGCAGGCGGAGGGGGAGAGACCCCACGTTTGTGTTAGAACAAAGGCAGTTTCACTCCAGGTCCCCAGATGCTTTTCGGATGAGAACGCCCAGAATCCTGGACCACAGCCCATGGGGACTTTTGAGAAACCGTAGGCCAGCGACAGGGATGGAACCAGCCACAGGGAAGGTCGTCTGCTGAAAGCCCTGAGTTCAAACTCCACAGGGTCCAGCCGGGGAAAAGAGGGACCCGCACCCCATAAGCCCGAGCTGGCCCCAGGCTCGGTCTCCCATAAGGCCAGGTCTCCTGATGATCTGGGAGGCCTCAGTATGTCTTTCCACAGACTTGGGAGGAACAATTTAGGAGCTTTAGCAAGCAGTTTGTAAAACAAGCTTTCTCTCTCTCCCCCCTCCCTTTTCATCCTGGCTCCACCGACTCGGTTACATCACCAGGCAAAGAGGGTGCTGCGCGGCCAGCCACGGTCACCCTCCCTTCCTCCTGGTGCCGGCAAGCGCCTTATGTAACCGGCATCAGGGCTCAGGGATGCGAGGAAGCAGCAGGCGGGAGGGGGAGCCGAGGGCGCTCCAACATCTGTGGATAGACAGGAGAGGGTGGGGGTGGCGGAAATCAAGTGCCGTTATGCTTTCCTTCAGCCTGCCCTCCCCACAGCTGAACCGTTTCCGAGCTGCCAGCAAACAGGAAGTGGTGAGTCTTCCTCTCGTGCTGATGGCGCCTCCTTGATCCGATTCGCTCACAAATCATCCTACACTGTGGTTCTAATACAGGCACCCTGCCTTGAGGAGGTGCCCTACACCCCATACAGGTCCCCCCTCCAAGGGATGGAGGGAGTCCTGGCGAAGAGGCAAAACTGGGAGTCAGGATTCCCCCCCCCCAAAGAGTCTGCAAACTGTCACCGCAGATTAATCAGCCTAGGTTTGCAGATGGTTCAGTGGCAGGGCACGGGTTTTTAATCACGGAGAGGAAATGTCCAGGAGTGACGCAGGAGGGTTAAGGTCAACGTTCTTAACTCTTTGCAGTTATTTTGGGTCTCCTGCATTACCCTCTTAGGGAAGAAAGCTGGGCGGGATTAAAAAACAGCCCTGTTATAGTATATTGAATATACGTAATACTTACAGTACTTTGTTTTTAAAATATTTGTATACATCCTGCATTTAAAAAGTAAATAAAAGTAAAGAAATAATTGCCCCCAATAGCAAAATAGGAATTCACAACACAGATGGTTTAAAAGGAGAGTTAAAACAAAAGTTGGTGGATCCTCCTTATTCCACACCAGTCTACCTCTGGGAATCGGGGTGTGTATGTGAGGGTGTTAAACAGCCTTTGGATTCTGCCCTGGGGAGTTGGCAAGGGACAAGGATATCTGGATCCAGCCCTCTTAAGATTAGATAACTCCATGCCAGAGCATTTATGAGCCATAAAAGAAAAGCTGACGTCTCTTTAAAAGAGGAAAGAGCTCCCATCTGCTTGTGAAGGAAAGAAGGATGATGGAACCACCAGAAGCTTTAAAAAATGGACTCCGGAACAAGGAGGGGACCCATCCTGCACAGTTCCAGAGAGGCCATTCTCATAAGAACCAAGATCTCTCCCAGCAGGATCAGATCAAAGTCAGCGTGATTCGGCATGAACTTTCTCAAAGGAAAACCACCACCACAACCCCAGAGGAGCTGCACTCCGGGTCCCATGTTCCCCCACCAGTGGTGCACAAAAACACACCCAAGGGGGGGTTAAGATCCACAGTTCCTCCTGACCAGCGGCCGGAGATGGCTCCTGCTGTACAGTTCAAGCTTCAATAGGTGACACCCCCCCCTTCAGATTCTAGGATTAGGAAAAGGAGTTTTTTAAAAATCCCTCCTGGTCCATTTCCTCTGCCTGAGCCATGCCTAATTTCAGATGCCTCCATCAACACCCCCCCCAAAAAACCAACACAAATAAACCAACCACACAACATTACTTGCTTTTTTAAAACAAGCTAAAAAGACCCCAGATTTTTCCTTGCCGAAAAGTTTCTCCAAACCCGCCTTCTATCTTGCTTCTCGCTAAAAGACGCTTGATCCAACCTGTCTGAAATCGAATTAATGGGCCGACGGGTTGACGGGGAAGGGTCGTTCCGGGAGGTAGAAAAAATATAACGTTCTTTATTTCAGCGTGAAAACACCCAACGCATTTTGGGTCCATCCACCCTATTTAAGGTCTGTTATTACCTCCCCAAAAATGCAGTTTACAACATGACAACTTATTGGGCCCCGAATCCTCACATTTCCAGAGAGAAACGGGGCAGTAACAAAAACAAGTAAATAAATAAAGAAGGAAACTAAACGTCTTGTTTGAATTTATGTTAGTCTACATTAAATAGATCCATGTATACACCCCCCCACCCACCCACACAACCTGATTAGGGAAGTCCAGCTGGTAATATCATAGGCACATTTTCATCCCCTCACCCTCATCACTCTCCTTCCAGTTTTCCACATTTTATTTTCGCTTCATTGTCTGTCTCCCAGCACCCGATTTAACATTCACAAAGTCCCTATTGTTCTGTCATTTTAAAAGCAATTATGAGGAACAGAAAAAAAATTGAGGCTGGTCTTCAGAGAAAAAGAAAAAAAAAGAGGATCTTACTTTTTAAGGACAGTGAGCCCATCCAGAAAAACAAATTTCCAGCAACCTGTTACTCTTTTAAATAGAAGAAATGGGGGAAACGATGAATAATATCTCTAATGTTGGGGTGGGGTTTACCTTGTTAGCTCA